ATATCAGTGGTTTCTCAATAGTTTTTGCTACGATAAAAAAATGTTAAGAAATTAAAATCGAGTGGAAATATGCCTCTTTGGAGATAGAGGTTAGCAAACCGCATCACTTTCCGAACAACCTAATACTTTTTTGAATGATATGGTATAATTGACACATACTGAGAAGGGAAGCTTCAAGCAGAGTGCTTTGTCTTTAGCATTTAAATATCACGGCATAAACCAAGGGGAGGGGAGGGACCAATATCTTCTTCATCATATGCAATCCTTCTACGATGAAAATAAGGCCAGCACAGTTATTAACTAACATATACATGCTCGCCCATTAAAGTTTATGTTGAAAAAGTAACCCATGAGAAATTTAGGAGACGTGGTCAGTTGCGCACAGATGAAGAAAAAAGCAAGACAAGTACCCGAGAAATGGGACTCATTCTTTGCCTGTTGACTCCCGCGTTGATTCGATTCTCGTTGGTGACACTAACACTCTCTTCGGTAAACGGCTTGAGTCGGACAGCGAGAGGTTCCCATCGCTAGGAGCGGAGCAGCGGGAGCGCTGCTGGCACAGCCCTGCTAGGTTCCTAGTTGCATAACCCTTGTTGCGCATCGTGCCCCACCCTCATAGAGCCGGCCTGTCTTTTGACTAGGTATATTAACCCTTCATCGGCCTCCAATCTTACCGTTGAATGCTTCTTCAATCGAAATCAGATAGTGCGGCGTGAGGGGTAGCCCATTGGGGCGTGTGCAAGGGACGGGTTAGGTCAACAGTAAGGCTTTGCCGATACACGCGGGATACTACCCGATGTAGGTAGGTCTTTCAATCCCAAACGAGGCTGATTTGTTCTACACACACTTGGCTAACTTACCCTATAGATACCACTTTTGTAATGCAAGAAGTCGCCATAGATTGTGATGATAGCGACTACCGGGCCGTGCTTCATTATTTCTCTCTGGATGGCCCTGTGCGAGCTCGGTAAATAGTAACCACTCCTGCCTGAAAATGTGATTTTTGTGAGTACAAAAGCTTCCTCCCAGCACTGATGTGACATCTATTGGATTTTATCTGATTTGTTCCTTCTTATCGGCAGAAGTCGCTCTGACGCGTGAGCGAGGAGTTCCCCGAAGGTGAGGTGATCGTCGTGTATGGGTCACAACCCCGGTCATGCGAGCCATATGCTACGACACTTAGCGATTCGAGTCCTGCGGACATGACCAGGATGCATTCTTGAAGCTTCACATTTGGGAGCTTAGCAGTATAATACTTGAGAACAGAAGTCACAATAATTCAGCTAGGCACCGAGATTATTAATAGCTATTCTGCTTACGCTTCGGCAATGTCGCCTTCTGT